AGCAAACCGGGCCAATTTAGTGAATCTAGTTTCATATTCAACGATTGACATATTGCCCTGCTTGAGTTCCTAAAATTCTGAAACTTTTCGGTCTCGAAAGCATTAAGGGAAATATTTGTCGTAGAAGATTTCCATGAATTGAGACCATGTCATGTTTCCATTGTATTTCAGATTAATAACCATAATCTCCGAGGTGCATCTTTTAGGGTATAGGTGGCCAAGAGCATTTTCTGAGTCATGAAACAAGGAACACTTCAAATAGCTTTTCTATTTCAAGTAGCCATGTCTCTGCCTTCAACGGTTCAATACCATCTAAGAAAGTTGGTGGTTTCATCTTTATGAACTTCTGGGTTAAGTTGATTATATCATTATTATCCGATTTAACTTGCACCGGCGGTGGCGGATGGGGCAAGGGTTGTTGTCTCTGTTGTTGCATCATTGTTCAATCAAAGCCACAAGCATCTATTCCATTCAACTCATGCGAGCCTCTGAGGATTCAGCTGTACCGCCACTTCGCGTATTTTTCATTTGCTATAGGTAAACAGAGCATTTATAAACATAGGCAAATAGTACTTTTTGTAATGTTTAAATCATTCAATCTCTATTCATTCATGTCATTTTCATATGTGCATAGTCATGTTCAGTTTTCACATTTACATAAATTAGCACAATACTCACACATGCAGATGAAATGTTATTAATTCTTTTCTAGTACATCCTATAGCTCATATGAACTCATGTGTGCGGTAGAACGTGTGCTCTGATACCACTCTGTCACGACCCAAGCCCGCCCTTATAGGTTTAGCGTCATAACTAGCCAGTAATCCTTGGATTACCAAAGGCCTCTGAAGAGAATAACATATAATTAAGGCCTGCAGAAGCAAATATACAAATATACGTAGTCCATTGAGCTGTGTTGACATACATGGGACATAAATTTAAAACTTGTATAAAATATATACATATATGACGTCGTATCCACATAAGTCTTGTAACATCGTACAAGGTATGCGAATAAAAAAAAAAAAAAAAAAAAAAAAAAAAAAAAAAAAAAAAAAAAAAAAAAAAAAAAAAACGTTCTCCATAAGACAAACTCTAAGCATGGTCCATAAAACTTGACTTCTTAAACAGGAACCTCCCCGAGAGGCACGGTGGTTAGCTGACTCAAAATTCTCCAGGTAGCAGCTTAGGCCTGGTCATGTGCTTGCTCACCTACATACATAATATAAGTAGTGAGTGAAAGTCTAGTGAATAATAATAGAGTAAAGAGGTTTAATGAATGATGTCCCATGCCAAATTCAGAAATCAGAATTCAGAGTAGCAACAGGTTCATGTTCTTGAAACATATTCATATTCTTGTTCATATCATAAACAAAAATCTGAATTCATGCTTGATTACACGTGGTACATCCAATAGTGTTAATATATCAAATACAGAGCATTCAGGGTCATACTTGTCAGTTCCATAGAGGAACCTCCGGTACCAGGAACTTGTAACATACTTGAGCCACGGTATTGTTATCCCCGGACAATAGCCATGAGACCACGATATTATTACCTCCGGGCAAGGGCTATCATACTTTTCAGTTCCATAAAGGTACCTCCGATACTGGGTAACAGCTAACATATATCACATGACGCGAGGGATGCTTCGAATACACGTCAAAAATTGGATAATCATTCATTCATACAAACATAGCATTTCAGAATACTAATCATTTCATATCATCGAAAAATAATTAAGGTTAAACATAACTTTACAGAGTTATTACTCACTGATGGCTCCAGAGTTGGCAGACAAAGCAGGCAAATGAAATAGCTCACGATGCGTGACCTATACAAACATAACAGATACATACTTGAAACACACACCCGGATAATCCTTAACTCATTTTGTTTATTTTTTAGTGTATTTCTAGCATTTATCCTCATTATTATATCTTAATCTTAGCTTAGGAATGCCTAGGATGCAATGAAGATGCAAAAAGGTACTTGTTAACACGTTGGCAAATATACTGAAAATAGGGTCCTCGCTTGAGCGCAACTTCTTTCGCTCGAGCGGTTTGTAAACTCTGCAAAAGTACTGGTTGCGTGATTTTTTCGCTTGCCACACGCTTGACGGTCGCTCAAATGTGAGACTGAGGTCTTCGCTCGAGCGTAACTCTTGTCGCTCGAGTGGTCTGCAAAACATGTGAACTTCTGGAAGCATGTATTTTACGCTTGAGCCAACTTTTGGTCACTTGAACAGGGGTGCAAAAACAAAGATGGTCACTCTAGCGTAGGATTGGTTGCTCGAGCGAAGATGTCGAATTTTGGAATTTCCAGATTGCACTCCCATGTCCAAAACTCAAATTCAAAACTACAATTCACATCCTTTTGGGCCGAAAACTTAAGGAAACTTGCGTAAACTTGGGAAACATCATGAATTCAAAACCATTTTGCAAAAATTAAGCCCAGAAACTTTGTCAATTATTCAAAACTCAAACTTGAAATTGTGTAAACATTTAATGCATGTAAAGATACAAGTTCAAAGCTTCCAAAACATGATCAAATGAGATAAATTGATGGAAAACATGATGAATTCTCAAAACTATGGAAGAAAATGTGAGAATTCTTAACAATTAAACTTAAAATGCAAGAAAATGTGCTTGAATGCATGAATCTTGCTTAATTCCCACATCTAAGTTTCATTCTTGTATTTAAACTTCCAATTCTCTTGAATTCATGTTCTTTTTGTCACAGTCCTATCGTTTAAAGGCTGGATTCATACCTAGGCTTTTCAATTTAGGCTCAATAGGCTTGATTTAAGTTCAATCTTTTAATTCCTAGCAACTCCTTTAGCTTAAGCTTAATTCTCCTCCAACTTGACTCTAATCTCACACTTCTCACCCTCCCTCTCGTTTGATATAACAAAATGAAGAAAATAGGTGAGTTGAGGCTCATATAGGAGCTTTATATAGGCTCAATTAAAAGTTGGCTAATTAACTCTAATTAAGCTAAACAATGGCTATTAATTATCCTAATTAATTTGTTCCGAATCGAATTCCAATTAAACCTATCATAAAATTTTAAAAATCCCAAATAACATATAATTTGAGTCAATTCTGTGTTCGGATGCCGATAAGGCCTTCAATTTGCAGAATCAACAGAAACTCAAACAGATATTTCTACGATAGACAAAAATAAACACAAATAATGTAACACACATGCAATTAATTCACAATTTCATCTCAATCACGTATTAAGCATTCTTAATCATGGTTTAATGGGTAGTTATAGGTCAGGGTTTTTATAGGTAGTGTCGACCCTTTAGCAAGAAAAGACAATGCTGGCAGCAAGCAAGTTGTCGACACCTCCTAAACTGGTGTCGACACTGAATTCCAGCAAGCAAACCCTAGATTCTGCAATATACAAGGGTCGACCCTTCCTAAATTAGTGTCGACCCTTGTGGACAGCAACAAGAGATAGGTGTCGACACCATCAAAACTGGTGTCGACCTTAAATTCCAGTAAAACTTCCAGAAATTTCATCAATAGGTAAGGGTCGACCCTTAGGAAGGCTGGTATTGACCCCAGAACATAATTTCTAAGTTCTAAAGGAACTTTTTGACGTGAACAAGCATGAACAAACAAACCCAACAAGTCTAAATCGAATTATACTCCTCCAAAGTCAAAATACAATAACTCCAAAGACTTCCAAAAAGAAAATAAAGTGATTAAATACACCTTTCAATAGATTAAAACATCCGAGTGTTACACGTATTAACTATAGTGGAGTGGAGCAGTTTCGAAGGTGGATTATTAATTTTAAAGTTTAATCCATGATTAGCAAATAGAGCGGTGCGGATTGATGTAGATCGGTGCGATTTTAGGCGATTTGGCAGTATTTTGCATAGCCCTACTTAACACTTCTATTTACCATCACTGTATCACATCTCTTCACTATTGCCTTTGTTGGTCTCTGTTGTATATGACCGAACCATCTTAATCTATTCTCTTTCAACTTATCTTCTATCGGTATTACTCTTACCCATTCATGAATATATTCATTCTTAACTCTGTTTTTTCTAGTCTTACCACACAGCTATCTTGGCATCCTCATCCTAGTAACACTCATCTTATCAATATATTATTTTTTAATTGCCCAACATTCCTTCATATACAACATTGCTGGTCTGATAGCAATTTTATATAATTTTCTTTTTAGTTTAGCAAGTACTTGTCTATCGCACAATGCTCCAGACACACTCATCTACTCAAGCCACCCTGTCTTAATTTTATGGATCACATCTGCTTCAATCTCCCTAGCCGTTATGATAATCAATTCTAAAATAACGAAAATATTCACTTATAGATAGTTCTTAGTTCTTAATATTTATTTCTTCTTTGCTTCCATTGTTCTCATTACTAAAATTATATGTACTTTGTTTTAGTTATACTTATTCTAAACCTTTTAAGACAAAGAAATTAACTAAAATATATAATTAAAAAAATTAATAAAGATAAACAAAAATTCTATTTAAAAATAAATTTTGAAAATTGTAGCTAAACAAAAAGCAATTATTGAAATTAATAGTTAAAGATAAAGTGATACAAGTGTCATCAGCTGATTAAAATAAGTGAAACAACAACAATACTATGCACACGGAAGACCAAACACATAATTAAACATAGAAACTATTTTATCAATGATCGCCCGGATGATTATCCACATGACTAGAAAATATCATGACAATCGCAGTCGACCAGCACTGGATGACCAAATAACTAGATGCATAGTTTCTGTATTTAAATTTGCATTCGATAGTATGTGCGCTTAAACTTTTTGATGCAACAATCCTCTTGCCTTTACAAAATTTAATAAACTCTGTGAAGTAATTTTAAAATTTTGACAATAATAAAGTGGATATTAGCAAATGAGTTTCTCATTTTAAAATTTTAAAATCACCATTTTTTTATTTATAAAATCTAAATAGGAGTATTAAAAATTGAAAAACATATCAAGCATGCTTTTCATTTAACAGCCTCCACTCTACTCAACCCTCTCCTCAACTCCGAACTTCCGAATCCTTGGAACGTAAATCTCTCTCTTTCTCTCTCGCGAGGACTGGTCGAGAGTTTACAGGGGAATTTGGGATCTCTGAATCAAGTAAGTCATACATGTTGTGTGTATACTTTTCTGCATAAATGTTCAACTAATTGCCTTTTAATCTCTCATACTTAAAGTCGATTTGTTGCTGAATCAAAGATAACAAATTAACAATTCAGTATCATTCACACTTGTCCGCTATTTGTGCGAGTCTCAGAGTAGTTCCAGATTTGTAAAACCTACAAATCGAGCACCTGATTCTAATAACTTGTGTGAAGCTTGACCTTACGCTCCTCCGTTTGGTTGCTTCAAAAGAGAAATTGAACCTTGCAATTATAATGAAACACATACATATATACTGGGGAACTCCAATTTCAACTGCTTATAGGACCTCTTGCTTCCTAGATAGAGCCTATTACTCAGCTGTTTATTCTGCCAATCCAACTCTTCATCTTTCTTTTTCATCAAATTTGTTCAAGATTTTTTTTCTTTTTAAAATTATATAAAAATACCTAATCTATCCCAAAAACTCATTTAACCATTTCAGGGTAAAAAAACCCATTCCCAATTCTTGTTCTTTTACTAATTTTATCAATCGAACTTAAGTGAAAAAAAGGTTTGTTGAAAATTTGGTGAAAGATTCGATTCATACTGATTTGGTGAAATATTTGGTGAAAACTTGATTTGATACAAGTTTGATGAAATGATTAGGTGTCATTTTCACCAATTTTTTTATGAAATTTTATGGTGTGGTCTGGTACTAGACTGAATTTTTTTTTTCTTTTTTTTTTTTTTGGGGGGGGGGGGAAGCAAGGGGGGGGGGTGCCACAAAGTGACTGTTGAGCCTGCCATCTCAAGCTTCCTATATTATTAGTTATTTTTTCACTTGTTTCCTTTGAAACTAGATAAAGCATTTGGGTTCTGTACGTTGAATTGAAAGGGAAGTGAGAAATTTTCTGCCATCTGGCCCATCTTTCAACATAGGTCTATTTAGGTGGAAAACCCAATTACAAAAACTAACCTAATTTTATATATGGCCTTCGATTTCCTTCCAAGGTTCAATCAGCTTGAAGTTTGTGTACTGTGCCTTTTTAACCTTTAATCTAAGAAGCACGGACATGTGACACACCGACACGGACATGTGACACACGTCAATTTTCAAAAAATACAAGACACAACACTTGGAGGACACGTACGAAATATATAATTTTATATATTATATATATGAATATATCATTTAAAAATAAAAAAAAATGTAACATAACACTTATTTTATAAATTTACGTTTTTTTTTTCTTTTACTATTGTATCCTAAAAAGTATTTAGTTCAAACTTATAATTAGTTTCATGTATGTCTAATCGGTGGATACGTGTGTTTAAGTAATGGACACGAGCGTCTGAAGTGTTCGGATCTAAAAACTTTTTAAAAAATAGTATATATTTTGAAGAGTGTCGGACATTTGTGGGGAAGTTTCTGAAATGGACACGACATGTCCGTGCTCCTTAGCCCTTAATTTATTTTCGAATTTGGAAAAAGAGTTTCTGGGAAACATGTCGCATTAAAACAGCTGGATTAGCATAAAATGCATAACTATATCTGTTGAATAGACACTTCCCTCTGTTTTCTCAATCTTTCTGATAAGTATGTATCAGGTTGAATAAGACACTTTCCTGGTACACTCGTATGTGATTTAGTTTGGTTAGTTAGGTAGGTATTTTCCTTTTGTTTTCATGTGGATTTTTATTGAGGGTGCATAATGTCATATGGCAGTGGATGAAAACCCATGTGCGAGCAATGGCGGGGAAATGATAAAAAGTTCTAATGGAAAAGAGTTAGTTATTAATGAAGGAAATTCAGATAGGGAACCTTATGTGGGTATGGAATTTGAATCTGAGGAGGCTGCCAAGGTGTTCTATGATGCATATGCAACAAGCTTGGGCTTCGTCATGCGAGTTGATGCGTTTCGACGGTCAATGCGTGATGGGAATGTTGTTTGGCGTCGACTGGTGTGTAATAAAGAAGGTTTTCGTAAATGCAGACCTCGGAGAAGTGAGAACAGGAAACCCAGAGCGATCACCAGGGAGGGCTGTAAGGCAATGATTGTGGTAAAGAAAGAGAAGACAGGAAAATGGGTTGTTACAAGATTTGTTAAGGAGCACAATCATCCGCTGGTGGTTGCACCGGCCAACAGTCGTCGCAGTGTGCTCCTATTGCAAACACCAGTAAGAGTTAACTCTTGAATTACAAATTTTAAAAATGATTAGAGTTCTATGCTAGTAGTTATTCTATGATTGTCTAATATATTATGAAATCTGTTTATTACTCTTTACCACATACGGGTTTACTCAGGCGAATCTGAATGGTTTCTTGATATATTCATTATATAGCATGTATAAATGTGTATGTACTTATGTTACTTGGGCTTTTCTTTTTTGTGAAGTTTTTGTGTTGGACGCTCAACACTTACATAATGTACAGGTGATGTGTCCAGTATGCCTAGTTGAATATGCACCCATTAAAGTATGTCTAATTAGTAAAATTTACTACATAACTATGCATAGTGTCTAAAAATTATGAACCCTAGGTGTGTCTTGGTACTCTTCGACATGAAAATCAAATGTCCAACACTTAAACACATACCCACACCTGATACTTGTAACCATGTAACATAGATATGTACCTTCGTATATTTAAACTTGAAATTGACTACAGACTATATTGTACTTGGTTCTCAAGTGATTTTGCCGAAGGAGTCTGTTTTGCTAAAGGCTTATATATACATACAAGTAAAGAATCAGGTTTTTTCTATAAAATTCCTGCAGCTCTCTCTGCCTACTACTGTTTCGCTCTTCCTTGTAAACCAAATTGTTGATGTACTTTTGAAAATCCACGTCTCCTCTAGCAGTGCGTCAAACTTATTATTATATTTTTTGGGTACATCGGAAAAAAGAAACAACAAACTAGGACTACGCCGTATTACCCTCCTCATAGAGGTACACAATATCTACAACTAGCAAAGTACATATTTCCTTAGGTGGTTCATTAACAATAAGAAGATCAGCTGGTTGATATTCGCCTAATTTTTCCATTGCACGAGCACAAATGTTGGCTTCCCTCCTAATGTGCTGGATGGAGCAATCATAGCCTCTCATGATAATACGTGCATCTTCCACAATGCCCCGAAAAGGACATCTCTCTCCCAGATCTTCACTCAACAGTTGCACCACTTGCTCCGCGTCCGTTTCTATTATCACTTGGTTGAAGCCTCGTTGGAGTATGATGGTGAGCCCCTTGTAGATAGCCCAAAGTTCCGCTTCAAGACTGGTGCATATCTCAAGTCTTCCGTAGTAGCCGCTAATCCATGCTTTTGTTTCGTCCTGGAATAATCCACCAAACCCGCCGCCTCCTCCATGCCTGCGAGTGCTACCATCCGTGTTGAGCTTGATTTTTCCTGCATTTGGACAAGACCACACAGTTAGGCTCTTAGATTTGAGAGGTGTTGTGACATCTAAACTGAAAGCTTGAAAATTTTCTTTGGTATAATCTGATATAATTTTCACACTTGCGTGAATATTTGTAATTTTATGTTCTAAAACCATTTTGTCACGATTCTTCCAAATAGTCCAGATTGAAATGAAGAACAGTTGGGGAGTTTTGTTCTTCCCTTTCACATTCTGAATGACCCAATCTTTCCAAGGCAAAGTGAGCATGGTGAAGTAACCATTCCCTGCTAAAAACTTGGCACCATAGCTGTACAGCTTGAGGACAATGCCGTAACAAGTGCTCAATGTCCTCCATATTAACACAGAAAGGGCATTTGGGATCATTTGTAAGACCCCTCATGTTTCTCATATGGTTAGTGAGAATTTTTTCATGAAAAACAAGCCACAAGAAGCGCTTAAGTTTCAGAGGAGCCTTAAGCTTCCAAATCCAACCCCAATCCCTTCCTGATTTTGGTGATCAACAATTAAATCATATGCACTTGATGTAGAGAACTCTCCATCAGAGGATTTAATCCATCTGGGAGTGTCCTCTCCATCACTAGTTCGGGGTGGTTGTAATTTCAAAATTTCCACACCCATAGGCAAAGTTAGGGAGGTGTGCATATGATTTAAATTCCATTCACCATGTTCATCAAGAAGGGAATTCACAGTGATATGCTCAGAATTTGGAATTTGTTTGGTGGGTATGTTCAAGTCTTTTTCAAACTCTCACTTTGGACCCTCTTCCAAGGTTTCATCTAACTCCTTCAACAATGAGCTCCTTGGTATGTAGGATACCTTTCCAGGTATGGGATATATTCTTGCCTTTCCTCTTGTTTAAGAAAGACTGCTGGCGCAAGTATTTAGTTTTGAGCACTTCCACCCAAAGATTGTTCTCCTCTTTTAACACTTTCCACCCCAGTTTGGATAGATGGGCTAGATTTTGATCTCTAGCCTTTCTTATCCCAAGACCACCATATTTTTTCATCTTACAGACCTGACCCCAATTCACAAGATGCACTTTCCTTTTCTCAAGGGTTATCACCCCAAAGAAAGTTTCTATTTATTTTGTCAATCTCATCACAAACTTTCCTCGAGAGCTCCATAGTTTGCATGGCATAAGCTGGCATAGCACTAGTAACAGATTGTATCAAGGTTGCCCTCCCTGCCAAGGACAACATTCTAGGTTTCCACCCAGCTAGTTTGTTCTTAAGTTTTTCCAAGATAGACAGAAAATGATTTTTGCTCACTCTAGTATGAAGTAAAGGGACCCCATGGTATTTCCCCAAATTATGTGTTAAGGGAATATCACTCATATTACTCAACTGAGTTGCTCTCCTCCTGGCAAAGTTAGGAGACACAAATAGATGGGATTTGTGTAAATTGACCTTCAAACCAGAGATTGCACTAAACTCATTCAGGACTTGCAAAATGGTGTTACAATTTCGATCATTTGCTTTAGCAAACAAAATCAGGCCCTCCGCAAAAAACAAGTGTGATATATTAGGACCATTCTTAGCCAAGTTAAGCCAAGTCCACTCTTTTCCTTGCACTTTTTGACTAATCATAGCAGAGAGTCTTTCCATGCATAGCACAAAAAGATAAGGGGATATAGGGTCCCCTTGTCTTAAACCCTTAGCTGGTTTGAACTCTTCAAGGGGTTCACCATTCCATAAAATAGCTGTACTCACACTAGTGACACAATTCATAATCATATCCACCAGTTTCTCATCAAAATGGAACTCTTTCAGAGTTTGCTGAAGGAAATTCCAAGAAATGTTATCATAGGCCTTTTCAAGATCAACTTTAAAAATCATGTAGCTCACCTTCCCTCTTTTCTTTCTCAAGGTATGAATTGCTTCCTTGTGTTTTTCAGCTCTTCAAATGAACTTGCTATTTCTGCCCATTGATGGTCATATGGCTGACCTGTTTTAGTCGATTAAGGCATCTTCTTTAGCTTAAGCAGTTACACTTAATAATCCGATTAATTCCTGAGGCTCTGTTGAGTTAATTTATGAGTAGTGCTGCCAAAAAAAAAAAAAAACCCAGTAGTATACTGGTGATAGTGAGTTAAAAATGCCGATGATACTGAATCAGAACAAGCAGTTTCAGAAAGTGATATTTTTTCATAGCATAAAAGTCCATGTAGTATCCTCGAACATTCAGAAGTGGTGTTGTATTTCTCAACAAACTTAGGTCACATTATTATCCTTTAAATTGATAATTTTGGTGATGGTGGTTGCACAATCCTTTAGTTCATGTCATTTCACTTCATTGTCATCTCCCTGATGGATATTTGGTAGATGTTTATTTCTTAATCATTAATTATTATTCCAGCTTGTTTCACTTTTCCTTTTAGATTATCACTTACACAATATACTCATTGGTCCATTTTAGTTGATTGTTAAATTCTATGTATGCATATTAGACATGTCTTTTCTACTTATGGGGCTTAGTATAAAAAGGGTCCATCTGGGGATCATCTATTTTTCCCATTTAATTTTACTGTGTGGCTGCAAATCTGATCCAGGTAGTGTTTGATCTAAAAATTGTCATGACATGACATGAGTTGAGTGGCAAGATCACAAATCTTCTGTGTCATTCAATTAATTTTATCAGGAACCAGAATCACTATTAATGATATGGAGGCACAAAAGGAATCGAAACTCGAACTAAGAATGCTGAACATTCTTTAGGTAGTTTTTAAGAAGACAAATTGTATTCTGTCCCTCTAATTGCCTGAGAAAATTCACTTCATGGCTCTAGGCATCTCACCTTCTTTCTTAAATATAGTGAGCACCATCCACCTGAATCATGGAAATGCTCATGTTGTTTTCAATATCAACCATATTTAGCTTATTTTTGGGTGCTTTTCAGGATGAGAAAGACGTAAAAATTCGGGAATTGACAGCTGAGTTACATCGGGAGAGAAAGAGATCTGCATCTATTCAAGAACAGCTTGATATGGTTTTGAAAGATATGGAGGAGCATTCCAATAACCTATCAAGAAACATTGATGACATAGTTCAAAGTGTGAAACAAATTGAATCAAAGAGAGTTGTCCTTTCACACAGCTGATGGTCTGATTAGTTGTTCACTTTAATTTGTCTTTGTAAAATTTCTTTTGCAGACAATATTTGTTTTCCGGGATGTAAATAATCTGTCCGTTGAGATGAATTTTCCCTGTTTCTGTAAGAAGAAAGTAACCAATTAAGCTGCTTTGAAGATTGGATCCTTAGCTCCAAATGCTTGACATTAATTGATGGCTGAAGTAAATATTCTTGCAATTCTCTGTTGGGAGCTTTTTTTGGGCTAAAATAGTCAATAAAGACAAAATAAACTAAAATAACCAATAAGACAACGTTACATTCAAGCCATAATCATTCACTTTTCATCTCACAATCATCAAATTAATTACAAAAAAAAAAAATCAACTATCATTTCAAAAACAATTTTTTTAATTAAGTTAAAATAGTTAAAAAAAATTAATTAAAATAGTCAAGTTCTCAAACGAGTTTAATCACTTATTTTCCGTGAAATCTTAGTTTTATGACCGCTTGGCCCAAAATCTTGTGAACTTGAAGTTCTATGTCTGTTCTTGATTTTCAAATTTTCCAAGAAATTTTAATTTTATGACTGCAAAAGAGATGATACATTTGAGATTCTATGGACCAATGAACTCATTTAGATTCATTTAGACGCGTCCGGATCTTCTAGAGTGTAAGTTTCCTGAAGTTTCATGCAATGAAATAAAATGACCAAAAGAAAGAAAGAGAGAAGACTGTCAGAGTCTCCTCCATAACCATTGTCACCCTCGTTGGCCAGCCTCCTCCCTCCCTTCATTCTTGCATTCCATCACCAACGCCACCTTCACCTAGTCTCATCCTCCTCAAACCCATATCTTCTCAACCGTTTAACACAAACCAACCTTGATTTTAACTTACAGAACGTTTACGAATACATCTTCAATTCCCACATTCAGCTTCAGTTATTTGAACAATCACTCTTTTATTTCACTGAAATGATTATCAAATTCTTTCAATAATTTTTTAGCTTGTTTTCCTAGATCTAGGGTTTTAGGAGAAGAAGAATAAGAGGAGAGAAGGGGATGGTGGATGGCGGAGAGGGGGTGGGGAAAGGAGGAGGAAGCCAGCCGTTGAGGTTGGGGTTGGTGATGGAGACTCCGGCAGTCAACTCTCCCTCTCTCTCTCTCTTCATTCTGTGCCTTTCTCCCTTTTTTTTTAATTATTTATTTATTTATTATTTGGCCTAATCAAAACGAAAACTTCAGGAAACTCCAATGCTAGAAGATCCGGAAACCATTTAGAGACACTGCAAAGCCCTTAACAGAAAAACCGGAAAAGTCCATTGTTTATGAATTTACCGAGACTGCAGAAACTTTTCTTAATTGTCATACTTTCATCAAGAGCTCAAGAATGTTTCTCCCTCAAATTTTCTTCCAATTTTATATGAAGGTACGTACATCAAACATGTCAACTATAACCACTCTGATGCTCTGCCAGAATGACCACAACCATTGGGTAAAACACATACAAACTGTCCATATATGTGTCATTTACAGGCTTGAAACTGTAATTAGCACTGTAGCTGCATCTTCCAGAATAACTCAAGCAAATCACTGTAAAGAGATTTCCTGTTAATAGTTTCAAAAACCCAAGTTTGGACAACACGTTCATGTTTACTACATATTGACGACGTTATAACCTACCAATTGCAGATGATTGCAAATGTAAAAGTAGGTCATGGAAAATGGAATTAGAGACATTTTACATCTAAGAGGAAAGAATGAGTTGATTTAAATTAATGAATGTCATTCAGCATATTTGTCAACTCCAATGCTAGAAGATCCGGACACCATTTAGAGACTGCAAAGCCCTCAACATGCTCATGTTTACTACATATTGACGACGTTATAACCTACCAATTGCAGATGATTGCAAATGTAAAAGTAGGTCATGGAAAATGGAATTAGAGACATTTTACATCTAAGAGGAAAGAATGAGTTGATTTAAATTAATGAATGTCATTCAGCATATTTGTCATCGCATATGTTTTATTACTCCAAAATGATGAGCTTGGATGGGAGCCGAAGTTAAAACTGTTGAATGTGCAGCCTTCAACTGATTGACCTCAAATATAGATACTAACATTTACTGACCATACCATTTTAATCCCCCCAAAGAAGTTGATCATGATGTTATATACTCCACATTCACAAGTACATATGGAATAAATTTGTATACTTAATTGAAGTTGAAGCAAGCATATTCCAATACTACTACTGTTACTGTAGCACCAATCTCAAGTTTTTAAAAGGAAAGTCATAAGGCAAGGAAGTTGGCGAGATTTTCATTGCACTCTTGTGAATGTGGAGTATAATTTTTTCTTGATAACTCAAGGTGTCCGGGCCAGCTTGCAGGCACCAAACTGTGGAGTATATGACATTGCACTCTTGTGAATGTGGAGTATATGACATTGTGAGTCACGACCAAACTGTTTTTCAGGGATTAAAATGGTATGGTCAGTAAATGTCAGTGTCTATATCTGTTATCAATCAGATTTTTGGATGCCTGTGAAATAATTAACAGCCTGTTGCTTCGCATTCAAACAAAATAGCCCAAAAATCTTACACAGCACAAATAAAGTAGCAAAAACCAGATTAATGCTTGTCAGAATTGTGATGGCACTGGACATAAAGTAAAATTGTTACACGAAAGCAAGCTTTTGTTTTGAGAGTTCAACTTGTTACACGAGAGCTTTTATTCAGTGACTTTCAACTTTGTTTCCAGTGTCAATTACAGAACATGAGAAAGCAAATCACCTTGAACTCACCACCCATACTTGGCTTGTGTTTCAGCTTTTGTGAGGAAGCCTTTGGAACGGCGCTCTGCAAGTTCCATCTCTTTCTGTCTCATATCAAAGTACAAAGAACCAATCTGATGCTTCCTCTTGTGTAGCTTTGTAGGCTTCCCCTTTGTCGAAACAGGCTACAAGAGAGATAAATTCATGCATCCATTCAGAAAATCAAGTAATTATGAAAGCAAATAAACTATGTGAAATTATATACATAATGGCTTAGTTACTCTCCAAAAGAGAACCTTTTAAAAACATGCAATAAAAAGTTAACTTCATGAAGTCTCCGGAAGCATTATTAATTGATTTACTTTAATCGTGAAGATCAATGGCAAATAATTCAGGCATGGATTCAAATAAAATAAATAAATAAAGAAGAAGAAGAAAAAGAAAAGAAAAATGATGCTTTTAATGGAAATCTGGGCGACAAGTATTTGATTAGCCAAATGGCCACAGTATGCAGAAGGATTTGAATAAGCATAAATAAATACATATTCATCCAGCTCATGGAAGTGGTTCATGAAACGCCATTATATGAAACAAACTTATGTGCTCTAAGTGATAAAGGTGAGATTGAAGAAAACATGGGAAACAAAAGATGCAAAGGGTGACCACAAGGTTTTTTGATCATTGCATAAAAAGAGTATTTTCGCAAAAAAATTGTAGTTTTGAATTATGAGCTTCTAAACAATACATGAAAATAATTCCCCATCAAAAAAAGAAGAAAAAAAAAAAACTGAACAGATTAAAATAGCCTGTTAAAATTGAAAATAAACAAGACAGGAAAATCACGCTGATGGCTCCATATTATGGTATATCCTAATAACTTTGGGCAGAAAACATTGCAATTTAGTAAATTAAATGCAGCCAGTTGGTAGATGTATTGATCTTGCGTACACACGGACACAGCTAGGATTTTTTTTTTTTTTGGTAACAGCTAGGATTTTATCTTGAGCACAGACAGTGGAGACAGTGGCTTAGCCTACCCATTACATTATTGATCTGGTCTTAAAAATAATCTACATATAATATAAGGGTAAATTACAAATACACCCCTTGAGGTTTGCTTAAAGTACAGATTGTCCCTTGTGGTTTGGAAAATTACAAATACCTCCTTGTTAGTATTTTTTATTTAACAGAATTAATTAAAAAAATGAAATTCATAATTGGTCTCCTATACAATAATAAAATCACCTAAATTATTAATTGAAACATATTTCTAACATCATTAAAAACTGTTAATTAATTTGATAATTTATTAATAAAAGGGATAATTTGTTATAAAATAAGAAACCTCAAGGGGCGGAATGTAATTTCTAAAACTATAGGGGGCGATTCGTATTTTAATCAAATCTCAGGGGGTGTATTTGTAATTTACCCTATATATAATCTATATATATGTATAATTCAAGCATTGTACTGCTTCATCTCCTTTTTTATTGAAGCATTCAAGCATACCACCCAAGGTTTTAAAAAGCCGCCGCAACCGTTACGTAACGCCGTTACGTAACAGTTGTGGTGGTTACCGTCACCCGCTACAGCCGCTTTTGCAATGTGATTGATCACAGGTGTGTCGGTCATAACAGCTGCCATAGCGGTCGTAACAGTGCCGTAACAGCTGTAATGGCCTGTTACGCACTGTTACGTAACGGTTCCGAACTGCTTCTTTCGAAAAAGCACACAAAAAAAAGAAAAGCTAAAAATGGGGGAAGAGGGATAGAGAGAAGAGAGAAGATAAAGGAGCAAGAGATAGAGAGAAAAGAGGGAAGATGAAGAACATGTTATTGATTTGTTAAAGCTATAAGACCTATGCTATTCTATTCAGCTGCTATCACTCAACCATTTTGTTTGTGTGTCTATCTATATATTGTTTGAAAATAATAATAATAATAAGTGTGGTCATTATCTATTTGGCTTGGTTAAAATGTATATATATATATATATATATTTAGGCTCTTATTTATTCTCTTACTTTTGTCATTGTTTATCTTATATATAATAGTTAGTGATTGATTTTTTTGTATAATATAAAGTCATTAATTATTAAAATAAAATGTAAAGAACTCAGTTTATAGTGATTTAAAAATATTAAATATATTGGATCATACTTAAAAATTATAAAAATTGATCAATACTTAATTTAAGCCCAATAAATATGATCATGAAAAAAAAATATGCGTATTGGTAAGTTTTTTTTCAAATTGTGCGAAAAATAAAAAAATTTACAGTTCCGGTTACCGCAACCATTACGCTACGGCCTTTACACCCTGTAACCACAACCGTGCCACTGCCACCGTTACGGCGACCACAACTGCTTTTCAAAACCTTGATACCACCTCATTTTTATTTTCACTAGCAGTTGGGCACGCACATCAACTAAAAAAAAAAGTAATATATGAGAATAGTGATAATTTTTATTGTTTCATATTTAAAATTGTAATAAGTTTAAGAAAAATACAAAATTAGTTCGCCTGCTGGAGAAACGAGTGAATTTCTTATTACTATAGGATTACACCAAAGATCAACCTTGTGCCCTTATCTTTTTACTTTAGTTATGGATGAGTTGACGCAAAATATGCAAGATGATGTGCCATGGTGTATGCTTTTTGCAAATGATATCGTGTTAGTAGATGAGAACAGACAAAAAGTCAACACTAAGTTGGAGTCATGGAGAGAAGCACTTGAATCTAAAGGATTTAGGATACGCAGAACTAAGACAGAATATATGAAGTGTAATTTTAGTAACAATCACATTAGAAGCAGAGGAGAAGTGAATATTGAGAAGTAAGAACTCCCTAATAGTGAACATTTCGTTATTTAGGATCGATTATCACAAAGACTGAGGAGATTAAGCCGGATGTGATCTATAGAATTAATGTGGGGTGGCTTAAATGCAGGAGTGCATCTGGAATACTATGCAATAAACGAGTGCTTACTAGACTAAAAGAGAAGTTCTATAGGACGACTATTAGACCAGCGATGTTGTATGGGACGGAATGTTGGGTAATTAAGAAACAACATGTAGATAAGATGAGTGTAGCTGATATGAGAATGCCAAGTTAGATGTGTGGCAAGACTAGAAAAGATAGAGTTAGGAATGAGTATATTCGAGAATGGATAGGAGTAGTACCGATAAAAGATAAGTTAAGAGAGAATAGATTGAGATAGTTTGGTCATATACAACGGCGACCAATAGAGGCAATAGTGAAGAGATGCGAGACAGTGGCGGTAGATGATAGTGTTAGGGGAAGGGATAGATCTAAATTGATGTAGACTAGTGTAGTAGATAGATATTTGAATCTCCTTAATTTGACTAACGAAATGGCCTTGAATAGAGTCAAGTGGAGAAGAAGGATTTATGCAGCCGACCCCATTTGACGGGACTTAAGATTTGGTTTGGTTTGGTTTGGTTCGGGTTCTATAGCATAATCTTGAAAATTTAGGAGGGCGCACACTACTTGCGTGCAATTTGTTAATAGATCTGACAACCTTGACACTGTTTGAAGCAGTTGGAGAGAACTGAAGTAGTTTATAACAATTATCATGTTTTGGGGGCATTTTCAAGAAAAAAAAATTGTGACACCAACACCAACACCAACACCAACAACGGTGTTCGTTTTATATATTAGTATAGATTTTTGGTTGAGCCATATCATATGACTTTATTATTAGTAGAATCTCTTATCAGAGTTTTTAAGAGGAGCCAATGCATCACACCTAATTGAACTCTTCTGTATAGTGTCCTATATATATATAGGATTCCTTGAAAGTATGAGAAGAGCACAACATGGCTCCTTCCATGAAAGTTCACATCCCATTAGGAAGCATGCCAACAATGTACCCTTTCAGAATTTACCTGACTAGGGCCCCTGTTATCATTTACAACCCATAGAAAGGAAACAGAAGATCGTGGAATCTAACATAACAATGTCAACTCCTCAGCAGATTATTACTGCAGGATGAAGTGCCGGACTGCTATATCAACAATTTTAAGGGTGGATGAGGAAGTTTATTTCTCAAAATTTCTTCTACCATCATATTTCCAAATTTGAATATTATGGAAGTTATATATCAAGTAATATAAGCTTTTTACAAAAACACCCTGAGCTGCACCAAATACAATCTAGATTATCATGCAAACTATTTCTATCTCCAAATAATGTTGGGGGAGAGGTAGACCTTAGTAGCTGCTGCATATTAAATTGTACAACAAGTGATGTGGGAAAATAACACTTTTACATAAATAAATAAAAAAAAAAAAAAAAAAAAAAAAAAGGAAGAATAGAAAAATTTGTTTTGAGGAAAGGTTGACCTTAGTAACTGGAATGCCTACAGCTTCGAAAATTATCCTGTTCCATCATTTCAAATGGGAGCAATAGAACACTCCTCAGCCTACTTCGATCCTTGTTAGTCTAAGCCCTAACTTCTCAACATTTAACAAATCAAGGTAATGGAAGGTGATAGTTTGGCTAAAAACATAACCTTCATTTTTGCAACAATAATACTTACTATGGGTGTTCATGGCTCGAGTCAGTTCAAGTTTACCCTTAAATCATCAACCGACCAACCATCATCAGTTTGTCTATCTATTCAATTGAAACCGTTTGTTCAAGTCATTCGCTTGGTGGTCAAATTCGGCCGTTTCACAACTAGCATTCATTTACCCAATCTCTCAATCCTTCTATACAAAAATGAAAAAAGGTATATCTTAAAACCCTAGAATTCAATTTTAATAAAAGGATATAGAAATTAAAAAAGAAATAAGAACCTGGAAAACATTAAAAATTTGACAACATGAATAAGGTTGGGAAGATAGATCATCTCATCCACTGTCCAAAAAATTCTTTGGCACCACCACTTGTCTTCTTAGTCTTCCACACCATCGACATCTTCCCTCCTATGCGATTTGCAGTCAATATGTTGTTCCATGTCGGTAGTTGGAGATTCATGGGGAGAGGTTTAAAGAACATCTGAAAAGGGAGGAAGAAGGAAGGAAGATCGATGATGGGAATTAGGGGGAGAGATGGGGAAGACATATTGTTTGTAAATGGGAGGACTTACAAAGTCTGTAGATGAGAGAGATGAAAGTTGTCTCTAGAGAGAGAGAGAGAGAGAGATTAGGAAGAGAGAAATCTGGGGAGTTGATAGATATGAAGAAGAGAAAAATCTGGGGAAGAGAACAGAGACGAAATTTGATAGAGAAAGATGAGGACAGTGTGAAAGCCAAAGAGTCCTCCCATGACTCTCAGGTTTCTGTTTACTTTATTCTTGAAAGTTGAAATGTCGTGATTAATTTTTTGTGAAAAACCAAAGAGTAAGCTTACAGTGCAAGCTTTGCACAACCACTAAGGTCATAATGAAGGTAATGCTAATAAGCCATTGAGATGTGCTTATTATATATATATATATATATAATTCGGTCGGGTCATTTTTGACAAATCTAATTTGTATCAAATTGATATTGACCGCGAACCCACAAAATCCATCCAGATGAAACCATTGTCGACCATCTGTGTGCTCGAAACCATTCGTGACTTACTGGTTCGGATTGGTCTAGTCGGTATTCTCGGGTTGGCAGTTTCCATGAGCAACCCTAAAACTTACACTTCCACAGAGGCACAAACCAATAAACTATTAAACAACTAACATTTTGATGTAGAAGTTTCAGTATTGTGGACGAGGTGAGGTGAGATGGATTGCTACGGGTGTCATCTGGGAAGTAGGGCAAGTAGAAAGCACTAGACCATCAAAGGAGGGTTGGGTGGAAGCTAAGGTTGCCTTTGGGAGAAGGGGGAGGGTGGAGTTGGACAACTGCAGCATAAGAAACTTGGAAATTTCTAAGGAGTCATCATGTTTGTGTCAGATAGAGACACTGACACCGACACTTCCCAACACGTGTTGAACAAACCCATGCATCCAAACTTGTCCAATTATTCTTATTATTTTTGAATTATGAACCTCTAAAATTTGTCCTCCAAAGCATTTATCACTATAAACACAAGGTTTTTTTTTTTTATTCATACAAATATATCTATTGGAAGGCTTATACATAACCAAAGGAATGCTTATTGTGTCTCCATTACACGTCTTTCATTCCATAAAGTATTCATGCACTTCATAATGCCCAGACTTCAATCCTAGAAATATAGCCATCACTACCCCCTCATGTAAATCCCACGGGTCATGAGCCAGTGCTCAGTGAAGAAAGTGTCTAAGCACACATATGTCTTTCTCCCTTCCATTATTATGTTCCTTCACTTCAAATGGTAGCAATAGAACACCCCTCACACTAAGTTGATCCTTGCTAGTCTAAGCCCTAACTTTTCAACATTTAACAAATCAAGGTAATGGAAGGGCATACTTGGCTAAAAACTTAACCTCCATTTTCGCAACAATAGCAATCACAATTCCACTATAGCATAGACCAATAAACTATGCAATAAAAGCGTCTTATTGGCATATTTAAACAATCAAAACAATTAAAATTTTTAAAATATAAGTTTGTTTGAGTGCTATGGACGGTGGGAGGCGAGATAGATTGTTGTGGGTGCTAGGTAGGAACTATGACACATAGGAAGTCCTAGATTAATAGAGTCGAATTGGGTGGAAGCTAAGGTGGCCTTGGGGATAGAGAGAGGCACAATAATGGAGAGGCAAGTTTGGGGTTGGAAAACTGCAAGATAAGAAACGGAAACTTCTAAGGTGTCATGTTTCTGTCAAACACACATAGACATTGACAAACTTTCCAACATGTGTTGAACACGCTCGTGCACCTAAACATGTCCTATTAAAATTCAATCTTTTTGTATTATGAGCTACTAAAATTTGTCCTTGACAGCATTTAACCCCTATGGATACGAGATTTTTTATGCATACAATACAACTAGACAAGTCTTATTGTTGGATGGCTTATACATAATCAAAGGAATGCCTCTAGTATACAACTATACAAATCTTTTTGTTGGAAGGCTTACACATAACCAAAGGAATGTTTATAGAGAAGGCTTATACATAACCAAAGGAATGCTTATAGTATCTCCATTACATGTCTTTCATTCCAAGGCATAAGTTGTATCCACACACTTCATATCACCCAAAGTTCACTCCTAGAAATATAGTCATCACTACCCCCCCTCATGTCAATCCCATAGGCCACAAGCAGGTGCTCAGTGAAAAAATTGCCTAAGCACATGTCTTTCTCCCATCAATTGATACTAGTTGGAACAAAACTTTCCTCTAATTGTTTGATGAGAATTGCAAAAGAAAAAAAAAATAAAAAAGAAAAGGAGAGGGCATCAAGATCCTTCTAAATGTATTGAGTTGAAAACAAAACATGCATAGAGTACATGGGATTGGCAGGTTGTTCAGGAGGGAAATGAAAACTACTAGGCCCACACGAGGGTTGTGGATAAATTATCGTCATTATCAAGGGCCAGCTAAACAGGATGTACATGTACTGAACTCATAATGCTTTAGATAGTTTTTATGAATGCCAACTAAATATCGTGGAGAGAGGTGTATAAGCACTCCCTTTGATTCAGGGAGGCTTCCAGTACTTCAATGGATAATATGGTCATCAATTACCATCTCAAAGGAGAGCGCAACAGTATGGGTCTCTATCACTATCAGTTATGTAAATACCTAAAGAGATGATGTAAGACAATAGGTATGCCTATCATGACCCAAATAACTTCCATGATACATGAGGCACACACAAAGTCCTAAATGAAAATGTTAAGTTCAATAGAATCAAACAAAGATCTCAGAAGATTAGAAGGTTAAATTCGAGTACCTGGTAAGAGGGCCCAAAAGCTATTCCAGTTAATTTGACCTGGTCCTCCCGTGGTCGATTCTTAATCAGCTCATCCTGATTCACCTCAACTATTTCCTGAGGAATCTCATTCCTACCTCTCTTCCCAGGCATTTTCACGATACTTTCACTCATTCCCGATACATCTGATGGCGCCATTGCTGTCGAGCCATCACCCCAATTGCTCTCATATTGCCTGTAATAAGCATGGTTCCCATAACCAGCATAACTGTCATAGTTTTCATAATTAGCACTGGATGAAACCCAACCAGAAGTATTACCACCACCACCATCATCACCAACTGCATATTCCGCAGAACCAGCCGCATCCCCCACCGAAGCAGACGATGACCTGTCAACCCATTGGCTAACATAGTTTTGTACATTTGGATTACCACCCACTTCATCTTTAATTTCAAAACCATCTGAACTTGAAGCGGGTACATTGGCCTCAAGAATCGATCTTCGACTCGAACCAGAAGCTGTAGGCAGAGCACCCAATGCCGAGGAGTTCCTGGGTGCAGGAATACTCGATAGGAATGACTTAACAGAAGGCGTTTGAGTCAAAGAATCCACAGACTTTTTACCTTCTCGTTCCTTCTCATCATCATCATCATCATCATCAGAACCGCGAGACTTCATCAGAGATGGGTTAATTGGAATCTTGAATTGAATAACCTTTTTCCGATTGGGTTCCGAAGAAGAAGCCGAAATGTTGGAGACGGGAAGTGGGTCTGCATTGAGGGACTTGGGTGGAGGAAGGGAAGAGAAAATTGAAGAAGATTTGGGTTCAGGAAGTGAAGAGAACAAGGAGGAGGGTTTTGCAGGACCACTAAGATTAGAGGAAACTAGTTTCCAATCTTCAAGTTGTTGTTGTTGTTGTTGATTGTTGGGTTTTGAAGATGAGAGATTGGTTAGGGTTTGAGGTGGGTTTGGGGGGTGGGATTTTGGAGGGGGAAGAGATGAGAAGAGAGAGGATACAGATTTGGGAGGTGGGAGAGAAGAGAAGATAGAGGAAGAGGGTGAATTTTGGCTGAATTTAGAGGAGAGTTGTGGAGGATGATCTACTTTTTCGGGTTGCTCATGCACTTCTTCTTCTTCTTCTTCTTCGTCCGAAGAGGCATAGGTTGCTAGCAAAGAGTCCATGAGAGAGAGAGAGAGAGAGAGAGAGAGAGAGACCCTAATTAGAAACAGAGAGGACAATTAGGGCATCGTATGTATGTAGAAGAACTAAGGGGAATCGGCGAAACGTTGATGAAAAACGAACCTGATCTAAACAAGAGTGCTTAGCTTTCGTTTGGGATGACGATTGGAGTTTTGGTTTTTGGTTTTTTTAAGTTGGAATTAAAAAGTTTTCTTTGAATCGGTTTTTTAATTTTTTTTATAACAAAAATAAAATAAAATAATTATGATTTGAACGTGACATTTTATTTTATTAATTTTTAATTTATTTTATTTTTTTGTAATTAAAATAGTCAAAAACATATATGCCAAATATAACCTGAGAGCTAACTAACGAAAATCTAAAATAAAAAAAAACAATACAAGCAAAATTTACTTTATCAGTGGTTTGGACATAAGCGATTTATTTTAAAATAATCACATAACTCTCGTGTAATTTATAGCTTGAAGTATACCGCTAAATATTTCATTTAATTTAACAATAAATATGAAATACATAGCAAATTATGGAGCTTATATGCTTATTTTCAAATTTTAAGAGAGATAATGACATATAGAATAAAGTATAGAGGCTAAAGCGTACTTTTTCTTCCAAGCAAATAATGAAAATGTAAAAATATTTTAATCTTTTTTATTAAATTATTAACAAATTTAACAGTATAATTTAGGAAAATTTACCCATAAGTCCTAGTTTTTGAAACGTTGAACCATTTAGTCCTAAAAGTTTTTTTATGCTCCATTTAGTCCCATTTTTACATCAACATGATGTGAATGATGTAAATGATCTGATGTTTCATTCTATAATTTCAAAATTTATTGAAATCTGATGAACATTAGATGTTTTTCATCCTATATTTTCAAACATTATTGAAATTTGATGAATATTAGATGTTTGAAATCCAATGTTTGTAACATGACTCTGATGTTATTAACATTGTATCTGATGTTATTAACATTTAGGACTAAACAGTGCATAAGTTATTAATTTGGGATTTATTGGTGCATCTCCCTATAATTTAATACACAAATTACAAAGGAGTTGTGTGATCATTTATAAACATTAGGAGTAAATCACAGAAGACCTAAACCATACAAGGTAAAATAGAATTTCTCCAAAAATATCAACAAAAACGCAACTGTTCAAAGACGGTTGGGTAATTTAGAATAGAAAATCGAGTAAATTGTACCAATTGAATTATAATACTCCTTTATATAATAAAAAAAGGGGGTAAATTAAAAATAAATAAATAAATAAATAAATAAAGGTTTCGCGTGTTTTTTTAATATAAATCCTAAGATTTTAATTTTAACAATTAAAATTGTTAGACTTATTTATTTTGATAATTTATTTAATTATGTTTTAATTTATTTGAAAGAGAAAAATAGAATCCAAAATTTATTTTGATAATTTATTTAATTATATTTTAATTTATTTGACAAAGAAAAATAGAATCTAAAATTTATTTTGATAATTTATTTAATTATGTTTTAAACCCAAAATTTATTTTAATGATTTATTTAATTATATTTTAATTTATTTGAAAGTGAAAAATAGAATCAAAATTTATTTTGTCCCATTATTTCTTACCTAAACCGTTTATCTTAAATATTGTTAGAATGTATTTAATATTTGATTAAATCAAAAGCTTTAAATAGCTCAGGAGAGTAGCAGGCTAAAAGGTTCAAACAGCCCAGCACAGTAGCAGGCCAAAAGGTACAAGTGGAAGATATTCAAATTAGTAACGATGAAGTGGAAGAAATTTAAATTAGTAATGATGGAGTATAACAGCTATAAATTCAAATGAATACAACGGCTATAAACGGCTATAAGTTTCATTATATATACCAAAGCCTCTAATGTAAACAAATTATAAAAAATCAGAAAATATTCTTTGATCTATAATCACTTACATCTAGTCTTTGAAAAATTCTCTAAGAAGTGTTTTTCAATTTTTGTTTACATCTTCTCTTAGAAATTATACACTGAGCCTTATAGCATTAAGCTCATATTTCCTGTGTGAGATTTACAGAAAAATCAAAACTTCATTTTATATATCTATTTTTGAGAGATATTTATTGTAAGCTTTCTTTAAGAGCAAAAATACCATTTCATCTTGTAAAAGTGTTGCAAACACTGTGTTTTTGAATCTTGAAAGTGATTGTGAATCACCTAAGATTTGCAAGGGTTTGAGTTTATGAAGTCTGTGTAAAATCCGTGGAGGATTGCTCAATTTATAAAGAGGTTGCTAACACCCCTGTGAAGCTAGAAAATAGTAAAAAATCTCAAGTAAAACTTGAGGAGTGGATGTAAGCTTGGTTGAAGTCGAACCACTATAAATTTGTTTGTCTCCTTTTCCCTAATCTCTTTACTTTCCTACTACTGTTATAGCTATCTAATATTCATGTGTTAATCATTTGATTTACCCTGTATGTTAGTTATACTTCATTATTATTTTGCTTGATCATTTACTGATAAGTTCATCATTGTGCTTGTTAATAATTTGTTGTACTAGTAGTTAATTTTATTGGGGTATTATTAATTTTAATTTATAGAAACCTAATTCACCTCTTCTCTTAGGTTGCTTTTTGGGTAACAAAAACCCTGATATTACTTTTGTGTCACAATTTACCCCCTTCCATCTCCGTTTGATGAACTAACGAACCTCCATTTTTTGTGCCATTTCCATCCCAAAATGGCATCATTTTGCTTTATCACCTCATCTCTATCTATATATATACAAGCCATGGTTGTAGGGAGATTGAAGGTAGCACCCGGGCGACACAACCATGGTTGACGACCATAGCCATGGTTGGCGGAAGAAGAAGAATGAAAAGAAGAAGATGAAGAAAGAAAATGAGAAAGAGAATAGGAGGAGTTGAAATTTGAAGGTGGTGGCGATGGCGGCATTGCCACTGTCGAGGGTTCGACAGCTACCACGAGTTTAGTGGAAAGGCCATGAAAGAAAAGAAAAAGAGAGAGAATAATCATGGAAAATGAGGAATGAAGAAGCATGGAGATGAAGATAGAGGAAGGAAAAAAAAAAATCTTAATTTTGGCTAACTATCGGAACTCCGACGACACACAAAAAGCGATAGAATATGAAAGGTGGAATGAAAATTAGGCCATGAGGGCATGAACCCACCTATTCAGATTCAAACCCACTTGCTAAAGTCTTTGTACCTCCCTCATCGTAACTCTATTTTACCTCATTTTCGAATCGTTGGATTCACCTTATGGCCTAGTTTTTATTCTACCTCTCATACGTCATGTTCCACCTCTTTTTGAGTACCGTCGGAGTTCCAAAAGTTGGCCAAAATTAAAATTTTTCTCTTTTTATTTTCTATCTTCATCTCCATACTTCTTCCTTCCTCATTTCTTTCCACAATTATTCTCTCTCTTTTCCTCTTCTTTCATGGCCCTTTCATCGAGCTCGTGAGGGCCACCGAACCTCCGACGATGGTCGTGCCGCCATCTCCACCACCTCCAAGCTTTGGTTCCTCCTCTTCTCTTTCTCATTTTCATTCTTTTTCTCTTTCTCCTTCTCTTTTTTCTTCGGGCAACCATGACCATGGCCATCTGCCATGGATGTGCTGCCCGAATGCCATCTTTAGCCTCTCTACAACCATGGCCTATATATATGTATAGTCAATGTATATATACATTATAAAAATAAAAATAAATAGATATGGAGTGATGATGCAAAACAACATCGTTTTGGTATGAAAATGGTGCCAAAAATGGAGGTTCCGTTAGTTCATTAGAAGGAGATGGACGAGGGGGACAAATTAAAACCTTGAGATTTAAATTAAAAAACATGCGAAACCCTAGATTTTTTTATTTTTTATTTTTGTAATTTGCCCAAAAAATTATTTAAATGATTAATTAAAATATATTTATGAGATCATTAAAAATTATTAATAAATTAAATTTATTAATAAAATGAACAGTTTATTATACGATTAAACATTTAAAGGCTTGATATGTAATTTCCAAAACCACACGGATAATCCATATTTTAAGTAAATTTAAAGATATATTTATATTTTATCCTAAATTTTAAATTCACTTAAATTAAGAAAATGTTATGGTGTGCACCTACCACAAAATATATAATTTTATTACAAAATTTCATTATACAAAATACATAATATTATGAAATTTTGTAATAAAATTATATATTTATATGATAAGATGCATATGATACACGCCCTAAAGGGATGTATACCATAGGATTTCCCTCTAAATTAACATGATAAGGGAATTGGACATTATCATATGGTTACATTGATGAACAAATCAAAAAGTGACATCCAATATGTCGTATGTAAAATTATGAGAGACTTTTTAGGAGGATTGTATTCTCTCCATATCACTATCATTCATATTTCACTATAATTTTTATTGGCCTTATTCCAAGCTCATGATGATAATTCAAATCGTTTATTTTGTAAATTTTATAATAAAAATAGTCTGCACAAAAAATAATGTTCATTGGGCATCACTAAGTACATAAACAAAATATAATTAGTTTTTTTTCAAAATAGACAATAACTATGAATTTAAACTTAAATCAGTAAGTTTATAAAACAAAATATGATTTCTTAATCTATTTAATGATATCCAATGAGTTAATTTTTTACACAGACGATTTTTACTATGAGAATTATAAGATGAACAATTTGGATTATTTTTGTGGACTTGAACATAAAATAGAATATGGTAAAACATGAAAGATAGTGATATGGGCAGGAATCATTTCCCTTTTTAGGAGTCTCAATCTTTTTCTAATTAAATTTTCATTTAAATAAGGTTTTCAACTTCTTAAAATGGTTCAATTTAATCTTTTATTACGTTATGTCTATTTTGATTATTAAGTATATCATGATATAAAAAAAAAATAATAATTCATATAACCATTTTCATAATAAAAATAATTAAAATATTATCAACCTATGTTGGTGAAAGAAGAGGTGTGTGTTTTATGATCTTTTGTTTTAGGGTAAATTATAAATACATTCCTTAAGGTTAAAACACAGATTGTTCACTGTGGTTATGCAAATTACAAATAACCCCCTGGCAAAATTTGTCATTTAACAGAATTAACAACTTTGCTACAGACCCCCACTGGGGGTCGACCCCCAGTGAGGTGGCAGCCCCTCATTCGTCCAAATCACAAAAAAAAAAAAAAAAAAACAGTTTTTTTTTTTTGACCAATGGGAAGCTTCTATTCATGACCCCCAGTGACCCCCACTGGGGGTCTGAGGCATTTTTCCAGAATTAATAGGAAAAATAAATCTTCTAACTACTTTCCTATATAATAATAAAATTACCAAAACTATTAATTAAATTATATGTTTAATATGATTAAAAAATATAAATTGACTTAATATTTTATTAATAAAATGAATCATTTGTTATATGATTAAAAATTTGAAGGAGCGTGTAGCATTCCTATCTTAAACCCAATTTGAACTCACTTGTATGGATGTCCCAGTACACTTTCGGACAATTGATTTGATGGATTGTATTTTGTTAAGATGATTGAGTTGGCGTTAATTCCTATTCAGTGTGTAACACTATTAATATATATATATATATATATATATTTCATTTTATTTCGAATGTAGGGATGAGGAGTGGAGACTTAGAAACATTTTTGAACAAGTGAGGTTTGGTTGCACGAGCAGCCAAATCCACTGTACGAACGACCGGGTTTACTGCAAGAACGGCCAGCGCTTGAATGGCCAGTGCTCGAGCGGCAGTGAGTTTCACACAAGTGGCCAAGTCTGAGGACCTTTCCGTTTGAGCTCCGCATGAGCGTCCATAATTCATCACACGAGTGGCGGGACGACTACACGAGTAGCCGAGACAAAAAGGCTGCGACATGGCAGCCTCTTAGCCTAATATTTTTGAACCCTCAATCTTATTTTTGCACAGATAGCTCTCTCTCTCCCTCTTTGTTCATTTTACTTCATTTCTCTCTCTCTCTCTCTCTCTCTATATATATATATATATCTTCTCTGTATCCTCTTTTTCAGCCATAGTTACATACATTCAAGCTTTAGATTAAGTGTTCTAGAGTGAGAATGTATCCAAAGTCCGAGCATTAACGTTGTAGAGCTCGATGACAGCTACATTTTCATCAAAACCAAAGTTCGATTTGGTTTAGTTTTAAATATTGTGCTTCTCCTCTTCTCTGCAAGAGGCAGGGTTTTCTTCTATTTATTCAATGTGGGTTTGTGCAAGAATATATGGTATTTTTTTTATACTTCATTAGAAGATTAGTAGAGAAAATTGTAAAAAATGCATGTTAGAAGTTAGGGTTTGGAAATGATTGGCTATAATTTTCCTAGCAAACGTATTTTATTTATATCAAAAAGCATGTGGGTATTTTAATTTGAGAAAGTCTCAATTTAGACAAACCTTAATTTGTGAAATGGTTAAAATTGTAGAATTGTTACCTCTATTTTGAAATTGAATATAATTAATTGTGAAATTGAAAATGTTATATTGAAATTAGAGACGAATGGGGATAATTTATGAAATTATAGTATTTATAGAGATTGCATTGTTGGCCATAGGTAGAGAATGCCATTGTTGTAGTCTATAGAATTTAACATCATAAGTTGAATTAAACCCTTCTTTAAATTGCATTAGGGAATTGTTGAGTTTATCGAATGAAAACCCATTGTTGAATGGAGGTGTGTTGAATGCATTTTATAAAATAATGAGAACTGACACGAGTTGTCCTTTTGTATAATTTAAACATTATGATTTTAAATTGATTGCTATGGTGAATCTGAGTAATGTATAGAGAATGAGATAATTTAGCTTGATAGTCTATGGTGAAAGACCGAAAATCTACAGGGTATAGGTGCCAAGCCCCTTTCGATTAGAAACTGGTAAATTTAGCTGTAACAACCCCGACCCATGATTAACGTATAATCCATGATTAAGAAGGCTTAATAAGTAATTAAAGTGAAATTTCGCATGAATTGCTTGTGTGTTGCATTATTTTTATTCATATCTGTTTATCGTAGAAAGATCTACTCATGTTTATGTTTTGTTATGTGAATTGAAGGCCTTATCGGCATCCGATTACAAAATTGACTTCGGTTATGTGTTATTTGGAATTTTTAGAATTTTACAGTAGGTCCAAGTTAAATTCGATTCGAAACCAAATAATTATAATTAAATAATATCACTTAATTAGCCTCAAGCCAAGCTTAATTAGATATCGCTAATCAAGCCTATATAAGGCATAATGTGGACTCATACCTTTAGTTACACCTCCATTTTCCCATCCTTGAGTTCAAAACGTGGAGGGGAGGGGGGAGAGAGAGAGAGAGAGAGAGAGAGAGAGAGAGAGAGAAGAATAAGGAAAATTGAATTCAAGCACAAGGATTGTAGAAAGTAGAAGACTTTGAAGCTTTTGGCTTGGAACTCAAACAATTAACCATTTAGAGCACAATTGAGAAGCTAAGGTAAGAATTCAAACCTTTGGTCTTGTTCTTGAGTTGGTGAATTCATGAATTCAAGAGAATTGAGTGGTTTATTATGAGAAGTGAGCTAGAATGAAGGAACACAGATCATACCATGCATATATGTCTCTTTGAGTACAATTTGAGTTTGATTTCAAAGAATTCTCTCATGCATGTGCCCATCTTACCTTTATTTTGAGACTTTATCTTGATTAATACCATTTCATATCAATTAATCATGTTTGGAAGCTTTGAAGTCAAGATAAAGCATGCATGTTATGTTTTCAAAGAGTTGAGTTTTGTTTTACACAATTGGCAAGCTTTTGGGGCTTGATTTTGTGAAATGATTTTGAATTCATGATGTTTGACAAGTTTAAACATGCTCTCTCAAGTTTCGGGGTCCAAAGGTTGCATTCTAAGGTTTTGAATTCGAGTTTTGGACTTGGGAGTGCAATTTGGAAATTCCAAAATTTGATCTCTTCGTTCGAGCGACAGATCCTGTGCTTGAGCGACCACCTTATTTTTGCACTTCCGCTCGAGCGACCAAAAGTTGGCTCGAGCGTAAAATGCATGCTCCCAGAAGTTCACATGTTTTGCAGACCGCTCGAGCGACAGGAGTTGCGCTCGAGCGAGGACCTGAGTCTCACGCTCGAGCGACCATCGAGCGTGAGAGTCATATAACCAATACTTTTACAGTCCGCTCGAGCAACCACTTACATTTTACATGTTCACTCGAGCGAAGGATGTTGCGCTTGAGCGGGACCCCTGTTTTTAGCAAGTTTTGTTAAGTGTTTTCAAGTGCATTTTAGTATCCTCATTGCATCCTAAGCATTCCTAGGTCGAGATTAAGACATAATAATGAGGATATAAAGTAGAAACACACCAAGATAAGAAAGAACTAAGTAAATGATTTCGGGTGTGTAATTTAGTACGTATTCGTTCTGTATCTGTGTATGTCACGCGCCAAAGTTATCTGATTTGCTCACTCCGTTTGTTTGCTTTGGAGCCAGCTGTGAATAATGACTTAGTAAAGCTAAGTTTAACTTTAATTATTTTATGTATGATGAAATAAGATCTATTCTATGAAATGTTATGTTCTGTAAAATGAATGATTGTCCAACTTTTGACAAGTATTCGGGGCTTAAGTAAGTTATCTGTTCCAGGTCCGAAGGTTCCTGTATGGAACTAACAAGTTATCTGTACCCAGCCGGAGGTTCCTTAATGACAAGTTATCCGTATTCGGTCTCGAGGTTCCTTGATGGAACTGACAAGCTATTTGTACTCGGCTGGAGGTTCCTTTATGGAACTGACAAGTATGATCTTCGATGCTCCGTATGTGATCTGTTAGCGCTAACGAATGTAAGATTAAGTATGAATTCTGATTTCTATCATTGACTTGAACAAGAATATGAATATAAATCTGTTTCTAATTGAAATATGAGCATGCATAAGACTCTGTTTCTGATAATGGACATCATTCATTAAAACCCTTTACTCTGTTATTATTCACTGGGCTTCTACTCATTATTTATATTTATGTATCTAGGTGAGCAGACGCGTGACCAGGCCTAAGCTGCTGCCCGGCGAGTTTTGGGTCAGCCAATCACCATGCCTCTCGAGGAGGTTCCTTTTTGAGAAGTCAAGTTTTGTGGTCCTGTTGAAGATGTTCTTTTGTTTTTGTTTGGTTTGTCTACTTGTACATTAGGTGAAGTCCCTTATGATGCTATGTGTATGGAAGTTTGACATCATATAAGTTTCAAATATTGTCTGTTTCATGCATATCTCCATAGCTCTATAGACCTTGTATTTTGTATAATGGCTTCCGCAACCTCTTATATTTTGTTATTCTGTTAATGGACCTTTGGTAATCCTAGGATTACTAGCCGGTTACGCCGCTAAACCTACAGGGGCAGGTTTGGGTCCTGACATTAGCAGTGATTAGGTAGTGCTTAGCGATGACCACTGGCAGAGTAGTTCTCCTGGTAGCCTACTAGTTTGCTTAGGTGGTGCTTAGTTATGATCATTGACCGATACATGTACTTTGGTAGGATTTACTAGAATAAAAGGATGATTTGGATTGTTACAATATTTGGGAGAGAGAGAGAGAGAGAGAGGGAGAGTTATATTATGTGTATATTCAATATCATATATCTTATAATACAATAAAGAGGCCTATAGATAGGTAAAGTAAAAATGGGCAACAAGAAAGCTATAGAAATATCCTAATATGGTAAAACCTAATTACAACATCTAATATATATAGTGAATATAATATATATATACCGTATTCACTAACAGCTCCCCTCAAACTCAAGGTTGTTGCAAAGAGACTAACTGGAGCTTGGAAAGAGAAACTAGAGAAAATAAAGTCAAATAACAATAATAATGGTGGATGACAATTTATGGTTGTACCAGACCATTGTAGGAGTGGCTGAGGCTAATGTCGAAAGACAGTTTATGATCGTGTCGGATTGTTATAGGATCCGAGTTAATGGAGCTCATGCTGGGAGACATTTATGGTCCTGCCAGACCGTTGTAGGAACATGGCCAAAGCTAATGGAGCTAATGCCGGTAGACAATTTATTTTCGTGCTGGACCATTGTAGTAGAAGAATGAGTGTTGAACCAGCAAGCGTAGCACATACGTAACTTGTGACGTGGTGCTGAACGGTGATGGCAATAGATGAATAAATGCACCAGGAGACAGCTTGGAAGGGAACCATGTGCACCAGGGATGGCTTGGAAATGAACCATGTGCGTTAGGAGGCGGTTGTGGCTCGCCTTTTTCGCGCCCCATTTCAGAGGTTTGAAAGAAAACCCTACAGTTCAGACTCCTGCGGTTCTGAATCTAATCTCACAAGTGCAATGTGAAACTGATAAACACCAAAGAGTCCAAATCTGGCAAATTGTTTGGAAAATCGATTTTAAATCAAATAATGCCAAAATTAGACTATTTTGCCAGATACAAAGTCGCCACCTAAATATTTTTGTCTTGGAGAAATTTAGGAAACCCATGACTCGTACCGAAGGTCACGTGTCCGTCATCACCAAAGTTGCCTCGACTCAGGAACTTAGGTACGAGAGAGGAAGGTCATGAATTGAGCACCCCCATTCACCTGATCAAAGATCGGCCTCTACTAATCATGATATGATTTTTCATAAACATTATGCGTTCTTATTCCGAGTATTAGGCTAGCTTTACTATGTGATGCGCACAAGTAAGTATAGACTAGTTTGCTCAATTTGGAACAATTCAACTCATGTTTGTTTGCGAAAATGGTTTGAATTTGCCACCTCAAGTGGGCTTAAAGATTATGGATTTACCACCAAACATAGTGGGCTTAAAACATGATTTGCCACTCAATAAAGTGGGCTTAAAACATACATTTGTTGAATCGTTCCAATTTAAACAGTAACCCTTCATCCACAGACATTCAAGCAGTTTAGCATTTAAGCACATAGCCTCATGGCAAGCATGCTAATCATGGCAACATTCACATTTATGCAAGTATGCTCAAGCGAAAAAAACTCACCTAGTACTCCGCGCAAAGAAAACAAAGTTAAAAAATTATGCATGATTCCTAATTATACAAGATGCCTAATGCAACGCATGCAATATGCAATTAATAGGCTTGGGTACTAATATGGCATATGAATCGATTTTGAACAATATGCGATTAAACACGTATTCAAATAAGACATTGAAATGGTAATGCAGTTTGAATGATGCACCGAGCCTCGGTGCATGTAATACAAGATGAATGGATGCAAGCATGCAATATGCTAATTAAGACATGACCCTAATCTAACCATAAAAAACGATTAAATAAAAGAGAGAAAGACGTGGGGTTGGAAAACATACACACACCCACGCATACTTATTACAACATTGCGCCCTTGCGAAGAAGGGTCCGAATGAATAAGAGCCAAGCTAATCTAATTAAGCTAATTAGACTAATTATTAAAAATCAAATGAATAACTAGTTAAGCTAATTACTAATTATTACAACACTTTAACTAATTAGCAAACTGATTAATTAATTTACAACACAAATGCACACGAACTAAGCATGTAAAACATTAAACTATGCTGCCACTGCTCTACCTCGGGAAGTGGAAGATGCACATGCTTGACTTTCGCCCCGAAAAGACTATCGTTTTGCTCTCGAAAGTCTTTGTTTGTAGAGGTGAACATTTCCAGAACCTTTCTGCTCCACCTTACCAAACCTTTGCTGAGGTTTTCATTAGTGGCCTGCTGGCCATGGATGGATGCTGCCGGCCATAAATGATGCACTGCCAGCCATGGATGGTGGCCTACCGGCCACTGATGCACTGGATCACCATGCTGCAATAGAGCATAAACAGAGCAAAAAGAGGGATTTTCTAAGGATTTATTTGTACTGTATCCCTCCTTATCATCCCAATGTCTCAAAGGAGTGACACATTTGGATCCAAAACCACCAATCAAGCAAGTTCATTGCATGATGGCCAAAGATCCAAGTTATACAATTTCGATAAATGCACAAATATAACCAACAAGACCACCACCCTATCATGTATGATCAAGGGCAATGGAGACCTAGGAAAGTGGCACATTTTATCACTTTTGAGTATGAAATGTCCCATTTTCCTTGTGTTCAAATTAACGTCCGATTTGAACACATGCAATGCAACACAAAGAAGTGTTTATCTTGTCACTTTTACTTATCAATTTTGTTTACACATTTTAATTACCAAATCATTCTTTAATTAATTTGTCCATTGGTGAGTGTCCTCTAAGATAAAAGAAGTGTCAACCAAGGGATAGTGTAGGGCAAGAGAGAGATCATGTCTTTGATAATGAGCCCTCAAAGAGGATTAAACCATTAAGCATAACCTCAATCTCCAGCTTAAAGGATCCCAAGCTTGAAACAACCCTCAAAAGCAAATGAAGGAGTGAAGCAAATAGGGAGGTTGCAGAGATTTAGGTGCTAAAATTAAGTGATAAAAGCACTAAAAACATGTAACCAAGTCACACCAATGATGTTTAAAGCGTTAAAACAAGAAACTAGTGCAAGGACTCACACTACAACTATACAAAACAAAGTTCAAATGAACCAAACAGCCCAAAATAGAGCTAAAGCAAGCTATTTCAGAGGCTAAATGAACCAAACAGCCCAAAATAGAGCTAAAGCAAGCTATTTCAGAGGCTAAAACATGCTGGACTTAAGCTAAGTTAAGCTAGAAAAACATGCTAACATGTAAAGCTAACTAAGTATGCAAACAAGACACAAGGAGGGGAGGCTAACCCCTCCAATTTTGGACTTCAAATTGAGATTTTTTCCACTGAAAAACCTCTGAAATTTAGTGGTTAAAAGGCCCAAAAAAGTTGATTTGAAAGTGATACAAAAGCTTTACAAGCAAAGAAGCAAGAAGGGTGAACCACCCCTAACTGAAAATGGCCTCAAACCACCACCTTTAGGCCACAAAAACAGAGTTTTTTAAAGTTCAAAAATAGGCCAAAAACAGTCCAAAAATAGTGGAAAGAGATAGGAAAACAATTGTGCAAAACAAGCTTAAAAGGAGAGTGTTATACCTCTTGAAGCCAAGACACAATTGAGGCAATAAATCAAGCCAAGACCACCTTCTAGAGCTCAAAGAGGGTCCCAAATAACCTCAGCCCAAAGATAAGCAACTTTGGCTATAGGTTAATAGGCAAACTTGAAGTGTATCTACACTTGTATGCACAAAAGTTCAAGAGAGATAGAGAAATCTAGAGAGAGAGAGAATTGTAGAGAGAGAGACTCCCAAAATTTTTCCAACCTTGAAAACAATAGAGAAGGTCCTCTATATATAAAATATATGGTTTCAGGTCAAAAATATCAATATAGGACAGCTAGAGCAGTGTGGAACAGCTGAAGGGAAAATATTTGCACAAAATACTGATTTTTGACACCGTTGGCCGGCCGGCCGTCACTGGTGGCCGGAAAAATTCATCCATGGCTAGAAAAATTCACCCCTGGCTGGCACATGGCCAAAAAACCTCATCCATGGCCGGCACATGGCCGGCAAACCTCACTAGTGGTCGGCCAAAAAATTCTGCTTTTAGGCCCGACTTCAAATAGGGATATCTTCTTTATCCAGACTCCTTTTCAGGTCATTCTTAAGTCTTAATTGAAGCCCCGGAAGTTTACTTTCCAATGGTGGCAGCCGCACATCAAAATTGTAAGTGTGCAAAGAGATATGCCTATTTTAGTGAAGATTGCTTAGTTTTGGTTCTAATCGGATTGATGCCTAACTTCACACAGCCATGCCTCCCTCATCGAATTTAGGAGATTCTTGGGTCTAAAATGAAGCCCCAGAAGTTCAGTTTCCAATGGTGGTGGCCTGATAACTAAAGTCCAAGTATACGAAAGGATAGGCCTGAATTAGTGAGGTTGCCCGTCTTTCTCTCTTAACGGTTCGTGCCCAACTTCTTCCCTAACTAGGTTTCTTCGCTCCACTCTTATTTTATTTAACTCCAAACCTCTAAATAAGATGTTTTAAAATATTTTTTGAAAAAGTTCACCTCTCTTCCATTTATTTCCGCTTTGTCCTTGCTCGGTTTATCAAAAAGTGCAACATTTAATGAAATGCGTGCCTCGAAACATCGTAGAAGCATTTTCAAAAATACTTTGAAAGAGAGGGTTTTAAGGTCTAAAATAATTTTGGTCAAAATAGTTTTGGTCCAAAATGGGGTGTAAGGTTGGGATTTGGAGCTCTTCTTGTTGAAGAAATTGAGCGATTGCACAACATAGCCTT